AGGAACCGCCGAACATTTGATTGACTGTAGCGAAAAGCGCATTTGTCGGTTGAGCTTTAAATTTGAGAGTCCCCATGTTATTGAAAGGCGCAGTAAAACTTTTTGAAAGTGTTAAAGCTACACACAGCCTGCAGTCTCAAAGTTTTTTCAAATACACTGTAACTTAAAAACATGCACATACGCATTTGCATCTTTTTTTCAGCAATGCTACCCAACATCTCGGCCATAATCTTGATCTTTAGAATCAGTGGGTAATAAATGCCTCTTGTAGGGGTAATAATCTTCAATGTCATCTCAAGACCTTTCTTAAACTTGCCAGGATATTTTATAACCTGGCATGAAGTTTTGTTTGTCTTGGGAACCATGCATGAATCTTGCCTTCGTCATGATTATGTTCGGAAACTCTCCACTCTGGGATGAAGCTTCTCAAACCTAAGATTATAACAAAAATTTTAATGTTACAAAATACAAGATTGTAGTTCTCAAATCAAAATATAACTTAAAATTCTACATCCTCAAGTAATAACATAACCCATTGTAACATTTTCATTAGTTCAAGCGAAAAAATTAGTCATTCCAGCTACAAGACCAGCACTGAAATATTCTTGAAAATAGATCAGAACCGATTATTGTAGAACAGTGTACACAGTTACCAATGTACAGTTGTACATGGTGCTTACATTCAGTTTCACTTCATAAAAGCCACATGTGTACAGGTATAAAGCCACTCAAAAACCTTTACAAAGTAACATGCACTCATAAACAAGCATCAAGGGCACTATATTGGTCTTCATGTACAGGAGGGCATTACTTTTTTAAATTAAACAACTGATCAGACTTACTTGCTGAGTTTGAAGATAGGTTTATCACTATCAGAAGCATTCAGATGTTTAGGTTTCCTGAAAATAAATATGTACATTTCGTATCAAGATGAGTTCACACAACCATTACTCTACATCTCATTCTGTCAGCTCTACACTCAATCTATTAAACATTCATTCACAGCCTTTTTTTATTTATTTGATTGCATTTTGTTTTGTTTTATTTTTTTATTTTTATTTATTTTTTTTGCTGTTGTTTTTACTATACTAGAGATTTTGTGAGACTATAACATGTTGATATNAAACCAAAAACCATCTGTCGGAGGTGCTACATGTATTACTGCACATGTCATGTATTTCTAGAATGTTTCCTAAGAAAACACATTTCAGCTAGTAAGAAATTATACCCTGATTTAGTGACCATAAAAGATTGAGAGTCCATTTGCTTTTCTAACTATGACAGGTGATTATCTAGAGTATACACATACAGTAGCATTGTGTTGCAGGCTCCACATCAATCTAATGTCTCACATCACCGCATTTCATTTCATACTCTACAGTGAATTTACTGACCATATACTTGTTTATTTTTTCTTACATTTTTGGTAGTCTAACTTGTCTTCTTTGTGTCTGATGGTCACTTTTTTGTGCTTCCATCAGTTCCTCATATCTCTTGTCTGGCTTGTGAGTTTTCTTCAAAGGTGGAAGTCTAACATTATTGGGCTTTCTCTCTCTTACATCTTTAGCATCCCTGCAATAGAATAATTCAAAAAATGTCAAGTATTGATATAGAAAAATTAACAATCAATATGCGTTGTTATCCTTATACATGTATTTAACTATCTGGTGTGTCTCTTCAACTATGGAGAGTGTAAACCCTTCCAGTTCAAAGCTCAAAAATATCAATTCTCCTAAACTTCTGGTTGCCATATATTTCCTAGCTACAATTGTATAATGTTAGTTCCAAGAACTTGGTGGCACATCAGGATATTAGGTAAAGATTTTGTTTGGTTCCCACCACTTGCCCTGTGGGAGGCTTGGTGGTCTCATGGTTAGTGCATTCAACGTCAGATCAAGAGGTCTAGTTCCGGGGCAAGGCACTTTACTCTCTCAGTGCCTCTCTCCACCCAGGTGTATAAAAGGTTACCGGCAACCTTAATACTGGGGGTAGCTCTGCAATGGACAAGCATCCCATCCAGGAGGGGGGGGGGGGTAGAAATAATATGCCTTTGCACTTCATGCTATAGTAACTGCATGGGCTAAGCTCCAGCCTGATGGGTCACTTGGCTCATATGCAGACTTACATGTACCATCACTTGCCTGCTTGGCAATGCATTTTTAGTTTTCTTAGTGTATTCTTACCGTTGCCATTTCGAAAGGTTGTCATGTCCCATGATCGGTCGCTTGGTTCGATATGATGCCGTCACATATTGATCATCATCTGGTACATCATGGACATGGACATACCATTCTGGAAGGACATGATATCTGAAAAGACCACACAACATTAGAGACTCGTACATGAGTGTTTTTTGCCCTGAACATGTACCCAGTCCTTATTGAAACCAGCTGACAGCAGTCACCTCTTTATTACATCCATTTAATTCTATACCAAAGACTGCCGTAGAGATTCACCTAATACTCAGAGTACATGGTCGTAGATGCAGCATCACTGAAGATTCTTACCCCTCTTTGTGTTCTGTGTGTTCCTCCTGGCATTGACCGGCATAACCAGATTCCTCCAGTTCATCTTCAACTGGATGCTCATGATCAAACCAGTCTACTCTTGGGTAAGGAATTGGTTCCTCCGTTTTTAGGGGTGGACTGCGAAATGCCAAAAGGTTCTTCCTTCCACCCCCCTTGGCGAGTTTAATGTAGTTTGAGTCAGTGTCTCTGATCCACTTTCTTCTGAAGTGTCTGTCATCACCTTCAGGAATGGCTGACTCATCTGGTAGTCCCCCAATCCCTGGGATCTGTGATGCAGGAGGTACTGCCTTGGGAGATTGGACAGCCCTTTTACTGGGAGCATGGTAGTACCAGTCTATCGAAAAAATAAAAGAGTCAGGTGAACAAAACTACAACATCACAGTCATTCCTCTACAATGTGGCCACCTCTTGACAACTACAGTATTAGGCTTACAGTACGTACTTTTCACCCTTAACGTTTCTCCCTTCTACTGAATAGGCTCAAAAGAATCACTAAGCAAAAAATATTCTTAGCATTTAGAGCGATCTTTGAACTTCTGCTTCAAGATCGGGCCACTTGGAATTCACAGTAAGGCTCACTTCATATGTCACATTTCTGCTGTGTCGAATTCAATTCATTACTAAGTGCGGCAGAAATGCGACTGTGGATTCATACATTGCACTTGTGTCGCACTTAATTCAGAATTTATACTGTCGGGTATGTCGGCCAGCGGAAAATGTTTTACATGTAGAGTATTCAGTATGGCGGACGAAAATACTGAGCGACGAAGGACTTTAATTTTGCTAAAAACTGTCCGCCAATGGAAAGAGAAGGAGAAGGCTGACGACGGAGCAGTATGTGTTGCAATATGTTCAGGTTGCATTGGGTCGAGAATGGCCAAATTTCTTCTTTTTCTTTGGCGGGAACACATTTACGCATGCTCATTACATTAACATAATGTGTGCATTAGATTCGACACGGCAGAAATTCGACGTCTGAATCGGTGTCGCATTTCTGTCGGATAATGCGACAAGACCAGTCGAACGTGCCGCA